ATTTGGTAAGTAACTCTATCTTTGGATGTTTAATGGGACGGGCGTGGGTCATCGTATAACCATGATTAGAAATGTTGCAAAGTATCTTAGTATTTTCGAGGGACTAAGATTATTTTGTAAGGAAACTTTGAATAGCGTCATCGAGGGACTATGATCTTTTGATTTTGTTTATTCTACCAAGATACTTTGCATGCGTAACATGGCTATTTTTGTATAAGGTAACCAAGTGGAGAAACCCTAAGGGTGTTCGTGTGCAAGTGTGTTTGATTGCATGCATGATTTTATCTTGAATTATGGTTTTCTATTTCATTGATTTTATCCTGCATACATATCCTAATCACTAGCATTTACACTTGAAAGCGATAAATTGCGGAAATGTAAAGTCCTACGCTATTACAATAATTAGGGGGTGGGGTACAAATTTATGAATGGGGAGTACCAGCGAGAAAAATAAAGAAAATAACAAGGGGAAGAAAGAAAGAAAAAGGAAAAGAGTCAGCGTGCTGCTGAGAGGAAGTCAGAAGTTCTGACCCTGGCCTGCTGCAGGATAGCAACATGTTAGTGAAAATGTATAGGTCAGAAGTTCTGACCCTGGTGCGCTGCAAAACAGAAACCTGTTAGTGAAAATGTATGGGGTCAGAAGTTCTGACCCTGCTGGGCACACAGTAATTTTCAGAAGTTCTGATATTATTGATGACAAAACAGACCCCCGAAGTTCTGGCGTCAAAGTCAGAACTTGGTCTCCCTCCGTGCTAGTCAGAACATCTGCAATTTGGTTATTTTTCCACAAAACATAAGGCATGCCTAGGATAGTTTCAGCAGGTGTCATAGTGTTTCAGAAGTCGGAACCAAAAATCAGAGGCAAGTTCTGAACTAATTCACTCTCTACTTAAGCATGTAGAGGCGTGAAAATCTCAAAACATGCACAACATCAGAAGCATGATATCTACATTGTGTTTTTGAGCATGCAATTCTGGTGATGTTTAAGCAATGTGGTGAGGGTCAGCAAGTGCTTACCTTGCAGCTAGAAAAAAACTATGGACTGGAGTCAGCCTCAACTCTGATGATGTTCTGAACAGGTTCTTTAAATGGATGGATGATGGGTATATATATGAGTCAGAAACTGTATGAGTGTTTCTTAGTCAAGAAATAGTTTGAGATCAAATGGAGTTTGAAAGCAGGAGATTCAAAGTTAATGGTTGGTATGTTGTGTTCACAATTTTTGAAGCTCTGGGAATTTTGGGCAGAGATTCAAGGTGTTTTCTTGCTAAAGCTTTATGTTTCTTTCCAGTAATTTTTCTGAACTTGGACTGGGCTTTTTCAATGGACAAAGGTGTTCTATTTATAGGCAAAGCTTTGTGGGTTTTTAAAACGTTAAGTGGCGCCAATATCATGCACTAGATGCTGACTTACTCTTGAAGAAAAGTTCATAAAAAGTTGTGATGATTGACAGCTTTTAGCCTAGGCTGGGTTAGTAAGCAAGGATTAAGGAAAAGTGACACCCATGAGCGAAAAGTAGCGCATGAACCCATACCTAAATCTGCACAAAAGCGTTGTTATGCTGCACGTGAAGAGACCCTTTGGACAAATGCTCAAAAGTGGTTGTGAGCATTAATGAGCATTAAATGGTGATGAGATTGGTCAAGACTAAGAAATCTTGTAATATGAGATTTGCACCATTACTTAAATCTGAGCCAGCAGTTCCTACTTCAGCATAATCCAGAACAACGCACCCAAGTTATGATCTTGGTATCCCGCTGCCTCAGCAAATTCTGAGGGTTCTCCAGGCTTTCCAGCATGTTTTATAATCTTCTGTTCTTACCTTGGCAGATTCTAATTGAACTTGCGTAGCTGCTGAAGAGATGCATTCTGACTGAATGTTATGTGCTGAGCCAAGTTTGCAACTTCTGACTGAGTTGGTGTAGCTACTGAAGAGCTGCATTCTGGCTGAATGTTATGTGCTGAGCCAAGTTTGCAACTTCTAACTGAGTTGGCGTAGCTGCTGAAGAGCTGCATTCTGGATGAATGTTATGTGCTGAGCCAAGTTTGCAACTTCTGACTGCTCCTGTCTGGAGGTTGGTTCAAAAGTTCTGAAGTGTCATTTTTCTTAAATACTTTAGAAAAATTCTAAGTATTTAGAATTTAACTTTTCCGAGATAAAATTTGACTTTTGAACTTCTTGATGAAACAAACTTCATATTCCAACATGTCTTGATGAAATATGATTTTTGAGATTTGATTTTGATCAAAAAGTCAAAGTTTGACTTCTCAGCGTGTAAATGACCATTTTGCCCTTATGAATGGCTTGCTTGGAAAGAAATGATAATTCAAGGCTTGGATTTGTATAAGGGAAAACTTGAGAATCCAGGGTGATTTTCTTGAGAAATGAGAGGGCAAATTTTGGGGTACAACACAAGTTCATGTAACACGCTCAATAGATGAAGTTCTGATGTTATAACTTCTGAAGCACCAAAGTTGCAGGCTAAATTCTGATACTCTGATAAGTGAAGTTCTGTAAGAACAAAGGAAGTCTCAATGCACTCATATATTCTAAAGTTCTAAGATTCAACACTTAAGCTTGAGTTGTACTTTGATAAGTGAATATTCATAAAGTACAAAGCTTCAACTATACTCTGATAAGTGAATATTCAGAAAGTACAAAGAAGCTTCAAACATGTTTGTCTCATTCAAAGTTCTGATCATATGAATCTCAAGATAATCTGATGATCTAAAGTCTCAACATTAATATTCTTATTCTGATCAAATTTCAAAGAAGTAAAGTTCTGATACATTACAATTCATTCATTACAAATCAAAGAGTAACGACTGGAACAAGACAATATTAATATTTTTGGGAAGGGCATTAGCAACATTTTATCAACCTTCCAAAGACAGTTTCTTATGTCTCCAACGGTTCAATTCACTTCCTCTATTTAAAGAGACTATGAAGATGGATCAAGTAGCAAGCGCATACAATAGAAAGAATTTACTCGCACATATCAAGAGCAACAAGAGCGATCAAGAAAAATTATCTATTTTATCATTGTACTTTAATTTTGTGTAAACATCACAATTGTGATATAGCTTTTTAGAAGCATTTGTTAAACACATTATTTCTGCTAGAAAAGTTATAATTCCTTGAGAAACCAAGTTGTGGTTTAGTCTCGAGAAGACATTGACGATAGTCTTTATGATTTGTAATTCCTTGAGAAACCAAGTTGTAGTTTGATCTCAAGAAGACATTGACAGTTGTCTTCGTGAATTATAATCGAGTTTTTATTAGTGGATTAAGACTTCGTTTGAGAGAGGCGAAATCACCTTGACGGGTGGACTGGAGTAGTTTGAGTTCAAACAAACCAGGATAACCAAATGTGTCATACTGTTTTTAATTTTTGAAAATCCCAATTTAAACCCCCTTTTCTTGTGTTTTTCTATACTTCAATAAGAAGTGTATTTCCAGTACCAAAGTTAGAATGAAGTTAGGTTTCCTGTGTTGGATTATGATGATGTTTTGTTTATTATGAGGATATGATGATGTTATGATGATTTTTTGTTTATTATGATGATATAATGATGTTGTGATGAATTCATGAATGATGATGTGTTTTGACTAGTTGTGGTCGTATTTATTATGTTGTTGTGCATCATGCATTCATGGCATAGTTTAGGACTTCGATCCAGTGATGTTATTAGGACCTCGGTCTAGTGAATATGATAAGACAATAATCTAGTGAAGGCATCAATCCCATAGCGTGGATCAAGTGCAAAATTGTGAAGTGCTCTAGTTCTAAGTGGGAATCGATCCTATTGGTGGGGATCTTTGGAGATATCAATGACTGAGTCATCAGTGAAGTTTTGGTACCACATGCATGAGTCTATGATGTTGAATTACATTATATGTGACATTGCATAATGATGTGATTGAATTATGTTTGTTGATAATTAGTGTTTTGGTAATATGTTGTTGTGTATTGAGGATGTTGTGAATGTGTGAGTATAACATGAGGTTCTGATGAGGTGTGATGCCTTGCCTATGTGTGTGTCTACTATATTTATTCCTTATTTATTTTATAATAATTATAATTTACTCACCCTTTCTGCTTGGAAATGTTGCCTCAATACGTGGGTAACTTGCAGGTGATCAGGAATAGTCCGTTGAAGTTTAAAGAATAGCTCCAAAGTGTGTTTATTTGCTTTCTATTGAATAAATGGAGTCTTGCTCTGATATGTAACATCGGGGTCGGGATCGTTTGATTGCAAACTTTATGTCTTTAGTTTATTTTGAGATTTACGAACTATATTTCTTGGTATTGTGAACTGTTTTGAATTATGAAGTTTAATTGACGAATTATGACGAGGATTTTTGAAGTACCTTAATAATAAGGATTGTTTTGAGACTGTGAATTTGTTGTGCTATTTGAAGTGATATGTGACGAGACCAAAGTATTATATAATTTAAAGTGTTTTACAACACGTGTTACAGAGCAAGGCTATGTTAGTTATGACGCTTACATGAAGATATGACGCCCTTTTATGGTTTAAAATTATTTTGTTTTTGTAAAAATACATTCGAAATATTGTGGGTTAGAAGGGTGCTACAATTGACATTAGTAGTTCTTCACCAGTGTTGTCCATGAATTCTTCTTTAATCAAGTCCTAAAAAAGGCCATCTGAGTCGTCTGAATCCATTAAAGTGAGTGAAGAATGAGAGAAAAATGAGACAAGAATGAGAGAAAAATGAGAAAATAATGAGAAAAGAATGAGAAGAGTGGTAGTATATATAATGTTATATGAATAATGACTAGTTTGAATAATGACTAGTTTGAATAACTGCTAGTTTATATAACGACTAGTTTGACTAACAACTAGTTTGAATAACGGCTAGTTTGAATAACAACATAATATTTATTATAAAATAAAGTGGTACTAATGACCATTTTACATAAGTGTTGATACATAACAAGTACTACAACTTTTCATCATGACTAAAGTCCATATTTTTATTTCAACTTATTACAATATTTTTTATGAACATCACGTTGACTATCATTCAACATAGAATTGTCTTTCATGAGTAATTGCATTGCCTTAAAATCTATCTCTTCCTCCTTATATTGATCTAGTCTTTCCATTGTTACTACTCTTTTATTCCATGTATCTTGCATAACATTAGAAGGTGATTCAGATGCTTTTTCCTTTGTCTTACTCTTCCTTTTTGCTGCTTGTTGTCCCATTGGACGCTCCATTGGTGATGATGAATTATACCCATAACTTGAAGGTGTTGCAGGTTTAGGCGATGATGATTTATACCCATAACTTAAAGGTTACACATGGTTAGACAATGATGAGTGAGCCCCACTAGCATAATTCTTTGTTCTTTTTGAAGAATTTTCGGTCGATGCTCCCATCCATTTAGGTTCATCTTTCTACAATCGCCATGCGTACTCAAGATTGAATGGTGTTCCTTCATTTTGAGCAAAAAAAGCATATGCAACGACCAAGATATTTTTCTCTGATGTCTCACTTTTCTTTCCATTAACAGGTTGTTTGTAACACCCAACAAATTTTTGAACTAAGCCATTTATTCAATGCCATTGACATTTTAATTGCCCATGTAGCTTTTCCCGTGACTGCCCATGATACTGATTATAATTGGTAGCGGTTTTTAACCAAAAACTTTCAGTTTTTTGATCAACTCCCACAATTGGATCCTTTGAAACATTAAGCCATGATTGGATAAGAGATGTATCTTCATCCCTTGAGAATACCTCTCGAGATTTTTTTTAACGGGACGACTTTCTTCTTTTCCAATACCGACTTGAGATGAAAATGGTAGAACTTGACTTTCAGACATAAACACAATTGATGTTTCCTGTTCATGACGAAAAATTCCATCCCACGAGTATTTATTTGAGGTCTATGATACATATTTGGATTATTTGGTGACGGAAAAAATGCGGCGGAGTTTGTTGGCATCGATGGGAATTGAGAATTTCGAGGATTAGGATTTTAATAATTTTGCATGAAATTGAATATAGACTATTGATAATTAAATTGATTAGGATCCATTTGGCCTAAACAATATTAATTTTGAAGTAAAAAGATAAAAATTTGGGTAAAATATATTGTCAAATGAAGGCTAATGAGAATAAATTGTAAGAGAAAAATTTAAAATTTAGTAAAGTGATGAAATTGTGAGAGAAATTGAAAACTTAAGAGAAAATAAAAGTGTGAAAGAAAATTCGTGTGTAAATTTTTTCAAATTGAGTGTATTTATAATCAACTAAAAGTGTTAAAAAAAAGAAAAGAAAAAAAAAAGAGTCGTTGAACTGCCCCTTTGAATTATATTAGTTTTTTATTCCAAGGAGTCGTTGCAATGCACTGCAACGGTTGGCCAACCTGGCTAACTCCAACGGCAGAAAAATTATAGCCAACATTGTCCACGTTGGAAAGTCTATGAAGAAACTGCCGCTGGAGGTACTCTAACGAGTGTCTCTGATTTAGGTATAGACAATTATAACCATAAAACTCATCACTTTATATTATAACTCACTCCTTTGAGTTAAACAAAAAGATTATTAGACTACGACGAATTATCTAGAGGGAGGGTGAATAGATCCCCAAATAAAAAAATTATCTTTCAAAATGGTTACTTAAAAACTTATTTGAAAAACAATGTTGAGCGGAAGGTTTTTGGCCTAGATCAATAAAGTAGTCTAAACGAACCTAGTTATTGGAAACTCGGATATGCACAAGCCATATGGAATTAAGATAATGATAAAATCAATAAACATAATAATATCTCAATTAATATTTTAATATCAAACACAATAGTTTCCTATTTCCAATTAAATCATATTTAAAACATAAATTGATACTTTATCGAACATGTCACGCACAATCAATTTTTTAGAATTTTTTGAGCTTTGTTGATATGAAAAGCACTTACAATCAAAGATATTACAAGCTAATCAACAAAGCAACTTAAACTTTAAAAATCAAAGATAAATTCTATACGAATCGATTGATCAAACAACACATTCAACAAATTGGATATAGATAGTAAATGAGAGTAAGAGATAGAACATTACAATTTTACAAACACTTGGTGTGCTTTCGACTTTTCAGAATTTTTCAATACATGAAAATACATAAGTGTTTTAAAAAAATACATGAAAATATAATATGATGAGGTCATTTCAAGTATATAAATTGATAAGTCACTATGATTATCAATTAAGAATCATGTTGCAAACGAATACTCATAATATATATACCATACACCAAGTATGTCATGTACTTAGAAAATTAACAAGTAAAAGAGATAACTTACTAACAAAGCGAAAGTTAAATCAATACTACCCCACCGTACAATATGACGGAGGATGCACTTATATTTCACAAGGAACTCTTGAAACAAAGTTGAACCAAATGCGAAGTATGCCACGAAGATTTTAGAATAACACGATCTTACCACTTTTCACTTTGAAAAAGTACCTAAAAGTATAACCTGTAATGAGTCCAAGAAGGTCATTAATTTGATGATAATTCATTTTGATTGAACTCTCATCTTTATCCTTTTCATGTTAGTTATCTTTCTCCTCCTCATGTTTCACTGATTCGAGTTGATCAATTTCTTCTTCGACGTCATTGAGTATGTCTCTTAAAGATACACATACATCATGAAATGAAATACCTTTTCTGAGTATTCTCGGATACAACATCAAAGATAACTTACACCTCTTTTACCAATTAAACAAAACTTTTTGTTGCTTTCTAGATCACATAATCCATCTTCTTGCCCCATATACAATAAGATTAGAATATGTTCATATTCCTTGAGTCCCCATAAATGAGAACCCACATTATCTTCATAGAGTCAAGATAATGTTCCTACAAAAACAACAAGACAATCTAGGTACCCAATCTTCATTAGATCCTTGGGAGTTAGTGAAAAATGGGTTGCATTTGGGCAAGTCTTTCATACAACCATAGTGACAATTTAAATCTACACCATCACTAAAATCAATATCGTATATGTGCTCACTTTTTGAGGACCTTGAACTTGACGCCTTAAGAGCTTTAGACTTTGTATTTTCCTCCTTATCTGTGTCTTTGTCATTTTTCTTCTTCTTCTCAAGCTTTTTCTCATGCTTGTCTAATCAAGTAAGTTCTTACTCATGTTTTTCAAACTTACCAAACAATATAATGAGATCAAGTATTGTAAGATCATTAGCTTTCTTGATCGCGGTGACCTTCGGTTACCAATTTCTAGTAAGACATCTCACAACATTGTTAGTAGAAATTTCATTGGAAATAAGATTACCAAATGCGTTCAAACGACTAATGAGATTTAATGTATTTTTCTTATAATCATTATTCCATAGTGCTTCCGACTTAGAAGTGACAATGTTATTAACATTATTTTGAGTAATAGCGTCACATATATCCTTGTCGTATAAATTAACATGAATGTGCATACAAGCTTTCCAATAACTATAGTTTTCTTCTGGAAAAAAATTTGGGGTCGTTTTGTAATCCCTTTTAGGTTCGTACACCATTTTCTAATAAGAGTTTCGAAGCACGAAATAAACCGGAGCTCTGATACATCTTATTAGACTATGATGATTTATCTAGAGGGGGGTGAATAGATCACCAAATAAAAAAAAAACCTTTTAAAATGTTTACTTCAAAACTTATTTGAAAAACAATGTTGAGCGGAAGATTTTTGGCCTATATCAATAAAGTAGTATAAACGAACTTAGTTATTGGAAACTCGGATATGCACAAACCATGTGGAATTTAGATAATGATGAAATCAATAAACATAATAATATATCAATTAATAGTTTAATATCAAACACAACGGTTTCCTATTTTTAATGAATCATATTAAAAACATAACTTGATATTTTATCGAGCATGTCGCGCACAATCAATTTTTCATAATTTTCTTTAAGCTTTGTTGATATGAAAAAGCACTTATAATCAAAGTTATTATAAGCTAATCAAAAACTCAATTTAAACTTTAACAATCAAAGAGAAATTTTATACGAATTGATCGATCAAACATCACACTCAACAAATTGCATATAGATAGTAAATAAGAGTAAGAGATGGAGCATTACAATTTATCAAACACTTCGTGTGCGTTCGACTTTTTCGGAATTTTTATTTGAGTTGTGTTGATATAAAAACCACTTATAATCAAAGTGATTATAAGCTAATCAACACACCACTTTAAACAAAATAGTTACCGAAAACTTCTTACGAGTCAATCGACTAAAACTGTTATTCGACAAATTACATAATGAAAAACAAAAGCGAGTAAAGATATAATAGAGAGCGACACAAGGATTTCTCTACATAGTTACCTACTTTTGTCTTTACACGTGGGTACGTTTGCGCTCAATTCCATTGTGGAATTAGGATAGTTTCATACTTTGCAAAAAGTATGAATACAAGATAAGTGTTCCAAGAGTAACCCTACAAACACAATTGTTTAATTTTGATTCAACCCATTCTCTTCCTTTTATATTCAACAAGACCGAGACATAATATCTACCAATTGATTATCTAGATGTTGCTACTTTTTTGTGTACTTTATCTCCAAAGCTTTCGCGCATAATCAATTGTACATATTGCAACACAAGACTTTAATTTGACTCGTCGTTTTCGCGCTACTTCCTTTGCATTCTTTACCTCTAAAGGATCCCATGTGTTCTTTATCTCTAAAGGTTTTCACTAGACCGCAATCCTCTCTTGAATGTCTTGCACGAAAACCTCAAAATCAATCAATGATCTTGAAGGACAAACCCGCAGTTTTTCTAGATGAAGACCCCTCCAAATCTCGACTCAATATTCTTGGCTACACAAGAACCTAATTGGATGTTAACGAATCTAGTCTAGATGGCACCCCAACAAAATATTATTAGATGATTTATTAGTGTGTATGCATAGGTCGGAGGTTGAAGATGAAGAGAAAATGCAGGATATTTGTATGGTATCATCATGTTGAAATGATGCATGAATGATGTAACACCCGTAATTTAATTAATTAATTATTTATTTAATTAAATTATTTTTGGATTATTTGTGAAGTTGCATGATGTTAAGAATTATCAGTGTGAGTTGTTGGGTTATTATTAATTAATTAATTAGTTGATTAATAATAATTATAATGTGGAATTAAAGGGAACATATGAAATAATGTTGGATTATGCTATTGGTTGGAAGTAGTAAAATATGGGTGTGGGTTAGGCCCAAGAGGGTTGATATATAAGGAGAAGCTAACACAAGGATTTGTTTTAGTTGGAGAATAAGGATTTCGGTACGCGGACCAATAGAGCTGCGCGGACGAGGAGCAAGCTGCTCGGTGTCGAGCAAAGCGAATCAAGGATTACGGCCGAAGATTTGGTTGAGCGACCTTCAATCCAGGTAAGGGTGGGGTTTTGTCCTTATAATGGGATTTATGATGTTTGTTATAGAGAATTGGTCGTAATTGTGATTGTTTCCCGTGATCTTGTTGAACTTGTTAAGGGAAGATGCTCGTTCTGTTATGTTGTGGATGTTTTAAGTGATGTGACTGTCGGTTTAATTGATGTGTAGGTTAGGTCGTGATGGTTGTTAGGACGTTAGGTTATTTCGAGCGATTGGCAGGAAATTTGGTAATTGTTGAAGTGGTCGTTTTATGGAGGTTCTGTGTGACTGTCTTGTATGTTGATGAATCTGTCGATAGGAATATAGTTGTCTGTTACTGTGTTATTCTGAGCGGTTGGCCGGAAGTTATGAATTATAATGGTGTGGTCGTTAAGACTTTGTATTACGACTGTGTTCTTGGATGAACTAGTGGTCGGGGAGGATACTGAAGAAGTAGGTATCGAGCGGCATTTTAGGCTGCGAGGCGTGTCGGGAATTATGTGTTAGATTTTCGAGCAGAATTAGATTACAGGATATGTCAAGGAGCATAGGTTGGTCGTTACCCTGTTTTCTCAATGCGTGTCGAGGAGTATATATTAGTTGTTATGATGTCCTAGTTATTATGATGTCTTAGTTATTATGTATGTCGA